CGATCAAAAATCTCCTCTTTTGACAAGTATGCAAGATTATAGAACATTAATATGCCACACCTCAGAAGCTCTCCCCAGTCTAACCAACAGTGACACAGTTCTTCTGGTTGCTCGTGGTCCTACATGAAGTAGAAAGCTCCGACTAGAGTCCAACTCATCAATAAGAGCATCTACCAACTGCTTTACTCGACGATCAAGGCGAACTCTAACCAAATAAAAATGAAATAATGTCGCCCACAAAAACACAATGAAAGTATTGAAAGAGTTAGTAGAAATCTATTTCTTCCTAGCTAGCGCTGTACACCCTTATGGTACAGGTATTTCAGTGGCTAATTTTGAACACCTTTTACATCTCCAGGGGTTCTTTAAACTGAACAACTGATAGGACACTACATTTTATCAACTTGACAATAAATTTGGTAAGACTTACTTGATTTCTTTTGCTGCTTGAGAGCTGCTGTTTTCTTTCAAATATTTATTCGCTGAAAGAATAATTATAAGATATGCTGAGCTTAAATCATTCTACCAGGGCCAGCACAGAGAGCTTTTAGGTGGGAAGGAAGGAGGGAGGATGACCGTGTTAGCTTAATCTAGGTTCACTATTTGCCGAGGAAACACTACTCACTTCTATCTATTAACTCCATGGCCCTCTCAAAATCCCTTTGAGCTATGAACATGTCTAAATCTTCTGGCATATCTCTAAGCCAACCTTTTCCAGCCTGAAAGAAATATACAAAAAAGCTAAATATAATTTTATGTAAAGAATTAATTAAGCCACACCGCTGACTGGATCAAGAACAGGGAAACAACGAGGAGGTGTAGAGAGGAATAAAGACCAAACTCAAGACAACAGAGGAAATCAGGCCTAAATTTTGGTTCACATACATCATTTAAACTCTTACATGTACTAGTGGTTGCTCTCTGATTCAATTTTTTGTTACCTTGACAACAATGGAGTTTCCAGAATTAGGTGAGGAAGAAGAAACAGGCCCTGTAACAAAAACACAGACATGTATATAAAAGACATGCCCCCTAAGTTTTAATCTGTTCTATATTTTAAGACACCGTCACTTTCAATTGATAAGTATCTTCCCTTGAGAAAGTTAAAGCACTCCAGGTATTTGAAGGGAAAGTTAAGCAGGGACTTCTGTTGCATTAATCTACTCCCTCCTTCCCACCCCAAGCGCTCTCCAGTGCTTGCACATTGAGGCAGATAACTACATAATACTAGATGGGTCCTCATGACCATTGTGGGGAGATCTTGGTGCATCTGCTGGAAATGGTTTATTATAAAGTGGTTAGCCAGTGGTGATGCCTCCCTACCATGTTGACCTTGCCCCAGACAAGGGGCTGGTAACAAGACTTTTCCGTTTTCTAGTTTATCAGATAAATATTTTTAATTTCAATTTTTTCAGAGTCTCATTTTTAAGGTGTTGATTTCAATTAATGATTTTTGCCATTATTTTGTCTGATGCCTTAGTCATTCATTGCACCTTAGTTTCAATTGTTAGACAAATGAGTAATTGTTTTGAGTTTTTCAGTTTCTGATGGGTCCCTATGGTAACCTCTCTGCTAAACTGTGGATTCAAGCAGTATCTTCCATAAAGGTCAAGCAGATTATTTTCTGCATGTGTACTGTTTTGATAAAGATCATTATAGCAACCTTCATCCTCCTCTTCATCAAAAGGATTGGTGGATTTGCTTTCATTAAATGGATTCTTGTCATCATCATAATTATTTGAGAAAGGATTGCTGTTGTCATCCTCTACGAATGGATTTTTTCCACTATCTTCAACAAAAGGATTGGAATTCTCTGAACTGCTGGTAATCTCTGTATTGGATGCAACTTCACTGCCACCTTCATTAACCTCTTGTTCCAGCTTCAGTTTAAAGTTCTTTTTACATTCTTCAATCCTATCCAACCACTCTTTCTAGAAAATAAGTACAAAAAGGTAACAATTAGATGCTATGTCAGACAGGTGCATTAAAAGGAAATACCTCAATTGTAAGCCAAAAACTTGTGCAAGAAACATGCATTACATCAAAAGTATAACTGAATTGTTTTCTTTACATTGTACTCCATTATTAATTTCTTTAAAAGAGACATACAAGTGCAGGGCTGAATGGTTTTTTTTCTGGACTGGCTCAGGTCAACTCATCCCACTCTGCTCACATCAATTTTCATTCCCATGTTTTGTTAATGGGATTATGTAAGCAGGGCCTTGTGGGTCAGGAGATAATAATAATATTATTACTGTATACATGTATATTACTGGTAGTTCATTTTTCTTCTCCTCACCTTGATTGTTTTATTTTCAGCTTGATACACATGAGTTTCTGGGAACAGAAAAACCTTGAAAGCATCCTTCAAACCTGAGATGTGCATCAAAACCAATGACTCATTATAAATTTGTAACATAACCACCAACATGCATTAGATGTAAACCTAAAAATCTGTTTATTGTCCAGCTTATTGTCAGATGCTCTTATTATTAGAGATGAATAGTCTGAGACCTTGCACTGATTATACAATCAAATACTAAACATAATGCTGTTAGTTGTAATTAGTCCCTGTATTATGGCTAACAATCTCAATAGGATATATAAATTGATCCAGAACACAGGCACAGTTCTCACCACAGTACTGTGTGCTATTCAAGACCTTACCACCAACTTCAGTTAGATTAGAGCTCACTAAAAAAATTATATACAAGTAACCTCATAATGTACTAGCTATTTACCTTCTTTTCTAGCCTGTTATTGGTTAAAAATGAGTCACAAAATAAAGAAACTGAAGAGGGTGAGGTCAAGGTGATTGCCCAACAATATACATACCATCAGCACTTGTCATATTCACCACTGCAACATTTTCTAGTTCAAACAGGCTTTGGAACTTAAAACGAACTGGACCACGCCTTAGAAAAGCGAAAATATTGGAGACAATCAATAGTTACTAATAACCCTGGGCAAGTCTGTATCAATACCATGGTATTAAGATTAATTCCAAATATAGACTCAGACTAACTAACAAACAAGTTGAGACAGGTTAAGTTTCATTTGAGATCAGTTTAAGGATAAAAACTGTATATAAATTCTCAGATTTCACAGAAAACTGACCTAGGAAAAGATCAGATCACTTTCATAACTTTTCTTTATGTCTCTTTAGTTCAATTGTAAACTTAACATCATCACCAGTGAACCATGGATCAATACAACTGCTGTTGACAGTACCTGTTTTGAATGATGTTTGCGACCACCATACTGTCATGTAACAGGAAGGCATGAATTTTAGATTTTGGAAGAAATGTTTCTGGATCCACCTCAACCAGGTCTCCCTCAAAAACACAGTTCACATCAGTGATATCTAGGACACTCTGTAAATTTAAATCGTAAAATTAATTGACCATCTATTTCATTCCTAGTTAATTTCATTTTTAACAATATTCATTTCAAACATATAAATATAACTTACAGCCAGACCCTCTACTGATTCTATTGAGCTGCTGCCTTTTTCATCTTTCTTTGAGGGTTTCATTGAAGAATTAGGATCTAAATTAAAGAACAGCAATAGTTTTTACAAAAAAAAAATTTGTGCAATTATTAAAATTGTTAATTGGGTAATATATTATAATAACTTATAATGGTACTTATAAATAATTATTTACACTGTAAAACAAAATTTCACAGACCACTAAGAGTGTTTTTTTGGCCAGAAATATGTACTCTTTCTGAAGAGTATTGACTAAAACAAGACTTTACAAAATGCTAAGGGGAGTGAATGATGGGATAAGGTAACAGGGGGCAAATACACCCATCAGTTAGTTCCATCTTCTTTCAGATGAGGAAGTAGATACTTAAACAATTAAAACATGCCTGTGGATCAACATGTGGATTAAACATAAAACTTTTTATGTTTGGTTGTTCTCAAACATGCCTTGTACATGAATTAGTGAATATCACCACTTTCTTATTTTAAAAGATATTTTAACCTGTTGTGATTCGTAATATTAACTGAATTATTAGATCCAAGCTTAAGAGCTTTAATGACAAAATAGACAGAGAGCTATACAGAGATTTGGCTACTCAACGTAGTTCTTATGTTGTGAGTATTTCCAATTTCTTTGGTATATACTTATTACCTTGTGTTCCAAATAAAGACATGTCTTCCTGACTGCTGAGTATCGCTTTTTGCTCCGCCAAAAAATGTCCCAACTGATACATTTCTGCTTCTAGATCTAATAGATTATGTTATGGAATCTGCATCATTTACATTTATTACGATTCGTAACTAATCCAAATCCACATGTACAACATCCTGCAGGACGTTCTGTTCGCATTGGTCTTGAAAAATCCTTCGAAAGAGTGGTATATTAAGGATACCGATAAACAAGCACACGAAGTTAGTTTTCTGTTTGCATCTTTAATCTTACAATCTCGATTGTACTCTTTCGGCATCCCCCATCACTGAGCACACACACCCTCGCCTGATTAAAAGCTAAAGGATACATGATATTTCCTTTGATGTTTCGATGAACTGCATGTAGTTCTTATAAACATTTTTCTTCAAGCTAACCGCAGTTTCTTCGCTTAAAGTCTGAATACGCTTTCGATGATCCTGAAGTTCAGCATCAGTGTCACACTTCGCAGACAGATCCCTGACATCTGAAGCAAAAAAAATAAGGATGGAAGGTGCAGTCCACCTATAACTCTGTATCATGATAAGATAGTCAATTACAGGTACATCAAAACGAAAAATGATAATTTGGAAGAAACAAAGGGTGGTTATCGCTTAATTAGTTTTCATGCAATACTTACATTTATCAGGATCGAAGGAAGAACTTGAAAATTTAAGCGCGAGTTGAGGAGAAGAAACATCATCCAATTTGACCGCCATGTTTGTTTTCATACCCACCCGGAAGTACTGGCACTAGGAATCGATCACTAAGAGTCATGGGATTTCCACTTCCGTCACCCAGACCTTCTCAGTTTTTGGGATTACAAGATGGCTGACCACATGGAAGAAGACGATGCAGAGAGTGTTTTGCCCGGAATAGGAGATCTGAAATCGTTTTCTCAGGTATTTATAGATGTTACTGCTTAATTTTTATATAATTTAATTCTTCTTAGACGAAAGGGAGCCAGCTTTGCATGAATGCGACAAGGAATTCTGATTTGTGCAGCCTTCAATTTCGAGAGTTTATCATCACATGCTTGTCGATAATAATTCTATCACATATCTATTTTGATCCTCAAAAAACGCTGAGGTTATGTTACATTCCTCAGTGCATCTATAAAAGCTTGGAATACGACAAGGAATTCTGGCTAGGTCTAAATAATTGTCTTGATAAACAGTTCTTTGGTCAAGATCGACCGTGATATCTCCCTAACAGGCCCTTCCGCAAGCTTAAGTAAGCAACTTCGGATTAGATGGCTATCTCACAGCCAACCTATTTTTAAGAGCTAGAATTTCAAACTCACTTTGCTGGCTTGATGATTACATGGTGTACACTTGATCAGAGTAGACCCCTAGGACAATGTTGATGTTTGTTTATCGAATTCAAGCGCTGGAGTTTGACTTTGTTCAAGGGGGGAGGGCAATTTGCAACCTAGATCAGTTATTAAGCAAATCAGGGTCCGAGTACTTTTGCCACTAGTAAGGAGCAAGTCATGAAATGTTACTTGCTTGTCTTGCTTGTAGATTGTTACATTTTTTGAGGGATTGACCGATTGTAAAAGGATAAAGGATAGACCAATAATAATCTGCTTGCTGTCCTCCTTAGGAATCCTTAGCTGCTATTGTCCAAGCTGTAAGGGAATCTGGCAACTTGCCTGGGGCAGGAGAAGATCATGACTTTTACTACAGTTTTCCAGATTTCAGGGAATTTAGATCAGCTCAAGGAGCAAGGCTGCTTAGCAAGTAAGTGACTTCTACTGTTTAATGCAACTGGTGAATTATAGAATTTGTGTAACATTTACCACCATTAAGTTGCAGTAGCAGAGGTACTTGTAGTTACCTTCTGTTGGAATGGATGCTTTTCATTTGTTCTGTTTAGGTCATTTATATGATTAGTGAGTTTTCTTCTGTTAAGAGTAATTATTTTCTTATTCCCTGTGTCTCAATAATGATTAATGATTTTTATTGTGTTAAGCTTATGACATTTGATAGAACCAAAGAGGCATCAATGTCTTACTGTTTTCACAGCATTGGAAATCTGTTGCATCATTGGAAGGTTCATTGTCAGTGGCCCTCAGATACTCATGCTATTGATCCAGATAGCGATGAGCTGATTGACAGTCTTGTAGAAGCCAATGACATTCTTCTGGAAAGAGTGGTGAGTTTCTGAAGATTATTATCACTGCTTCTTGGTTGGAGGCTCATCTTTATTAATAAAAATATTTGTCTCATAAGGACACAAACCTCGATGAGGCTGCAGGCCTGAAGTCAGACAAAACAAACCAGACAGTTGCTGGAGCTCCTGGGCAACAAGGAACGCCAATTGTGTCAAGTTGGAACAGAGCTAAGGTACAGTGTAAACACACAATAACTTTCAAATGAATGGGAAAAGTATAGATTCACTAAAAGTCTATGACATATGTATAATTTAATAACGGTAAAATATAAGTGGCACCATTTTTCCAGAATGTGTTGTAACAAATAGGGGTGTGACATATCTGCAAGAACATCTGGAAAACTTATGGCAGATTTTTATCAATTAACTCTATTCATCGAAATTTATTTTTAAGTCTGTATCAATTGGCTGGTTACTAAGCTAGAATTACCAATGAATGAACAGAATATTTCCTGTTGTTTATGTAAAACTTTTTTGAAAATCTGACAGGATTGAAAAAAATACTGAGTGAACAAATAAACCAGAGTGAGATCAAACATATGTCTAAGTCAGAGTCTATATATGATTTCCATACTACAGCTTCTAAAATAATAGACTAGAACCAATAAAGCAACCAAAATATGGCAACTTTCTCAAGACTCCAATTGTGATTTCTTTTGATTTCTTTTCAAAAACTTTTTTCCAAAATATTACAGTAGGTGCCAAACTTGAGGTGCAGCTTATTTGTATGTGCAGCTTATATGCTGGTGTATATGATACTTAAAATCAATACAACCTTATACATGTTTTTAAAAAAAGTACATCTCATGTAAAATTAACTGACTGCATTATTATATCAAAGATGTTTTTTTGTGTGTGTTATCAACTTACAGAAAGACATCCCTGGAAAGAAAGATACCAACTTCCGTTTTCTTATGGCTAAACACATTCAGAGACCACAACTGAAATTTAAAGACAAGATTGACAACAGCAACACTCCTTTCATTCCAATCATCAAGAGAAAACCTAATGCTTTAAGGTCCCTTGAAGTTGGTATGTTGAATGAAATACTAAAATCATTTCATCACATGCAGGAAAATGTCAGTGCCTTTTATGTAGAGTCAGTGTAATAAATACAAACCGCATATTATAGATTTGGCCCCATTCTTGTCAGAAATGGAAGGAAAACTAGTCTTGTATTCAATACAGAATAAATTTAATTGTATATGGTAAACTAGTAAACCAAGAACTAGGAGAGATGGAAATTTATTTAAATATGTCAACTCTAGGGAATGAGACTGATTTGTGTATGGTGTTTTTCAGATGAGACAAGCAGCAGTAGGCATCTACCTGGAGATGCACAAGTACCATCAGCTATTGCTGATTTTGTGCATCAGGAGAGAGTAAAAGGAATAAGCAGCTCTTCTGCAAACAGGTGATCATTATAGAATGTCAGTGCCAAGTTTTCCACCTTTTTTTCTTTGTTGCACTCTGTTTTGGTTCTCTGTGACTTCTTCTTGGACCCATCTGCTATATGCCCTAAATTTGTTTACAAAACTACATTAGCATGCAAATGTTTAATCATTATTGTTGTCTTTTGTGTGGATTTCAGTACAGCCCATCCATACCAATATGAACTGGAAGTGTTTCAACCTCCAGAAAATCAGCTGATGCTGCATAAAGAGGAGGTTAGCTCAAATGTACAGAATGATACATAGTGTTTACAAAATAAACATTAAAGAATTGGAGATTAGACAAGTGATTTTAAGCTTAAGGGTACTTATTTCACTTCCAATTACCTTTTTTTAGATCTGTGTAACTAGATAGTTTACATTTTTCTAGAATGCTTCTGTTGAAATCACAGTGCACTTACATATAGTGAATTTAACTGTTGTGAAAGACTTGAATTATGAAAACCGAAGACTTGTCCAATATTTCTTTATCCACTGTTAGTGACCAATAGTAAGCTGAAGATTGGTTATTTCTGAGCTTGCAAAAGTCATCAACAGCTAGCTAGTGCTTAGCTATATCCCTCCAGATGTACTTTTTGTGGTTTTCAATATAGGTTTTATTAAAATGTTTCACAGTAGATTAAAACACTTGTAGATTATTCTGACCTGTGAAAGCAAAGAGATTGACCTTATTTATGTTTTGTTTTGTTTTTATTCTGTTGCCAGCTGTATGATGAACTTGAGAAAACTCCATTCACATTGATAGAAACAACAGAACAGCTTCATGAGCTTTGCCAGCATCTTGCAACTGTGACAGAGTTTGCAGTGGATCTAGAGGTACAGTTGCTCATTATGTTTCCTAGAAGTGATTAATAATACATGTATTTAGTCAGTATGTGATAGAATAATGGTTACTGGCTTCTGATAAAACAGGTATACTCTTGCTACTGAACATTTATCTTTTTTTGCCAATGAATGTGATCTTTGAAGAATAAAGCCTGAATTCTTGGCAAAGTAAAAAAAAAAATTTTACCATTGCTTACATGTCACCCTGTATAATTTACATTATTTTGGGTGAATTTTTCAAAACAAAATGCATTCAAGAAAATATCAGTTCTTTTTATCAAAATCACACATTTCTGACTTTAAATAGGCAAGTAGCTTGCTGTTTCTTTTTATCTTGATCTGTGGTGGTTCAAATATGTTGGCATTGTGTTCATATCACCTTGTATGTTTTTGCTTTGTAGGCTCATTCCTACAGATCTTTCCAGGGATTTTGTTGCTTGATGCAGATATCCACACGACACCAAGATTTTCTTATTGACACACTGGAGCTGCGCAGTGAGCTTCAAATCCTCAATGACTATTTTACCAATCCTGGCATACTTAAGGTAAAAATTTAAATGTACCCTCTATAATTGTAGCAAGCCAGTAAGGCAGAAAACCACTTCATCTACATCTTCTGTCTGAATCTGTTATGCCATAGAATTTGCTATTTGTTTGTTACTTGAGGTTTGACTATTTCTATTTCCTGCAGGTTTTTCATGGAGCTGATATGGATATTGGATGGCTACAGCGAGATTTTGGTATTTATGTTGTCAATATGTTTGACACAGGCCAGGCTGCTAGGGTGCTAAACTATGGGAAGTACTCCTTGGCTTTCCTGCTGAAAAAGTTCTGTGATGTCACAGCAAATAAACAATATCAACTGGCAGATTGGAGGATAAGGTTATTAGTGGTTTTGTTGTGTAACCTTTGTTTTTTACAGCTCAAAATTTAGACAAGTACAAGACAAATGAAAAATGAAAAAAAGAGCTGAGTCCAGATCATTCGTGGTTATGTTATTTAATTTGAATTAGTTTTTCATGATGTTAAAATTTGATGGCCAAAATCACAATATAGTAACAATGATCATTCCATGTAGGCATTTAGATTATTTTAATTATCAAGTTTGTTTATTTCACAGACCTCTGCCTTCAGAGATGGTGCATTATGCCAGAGAAGACACACATTATTTGCTTTACATTTGTGATCGTCTGCATAATGAACTCATTAAACATGGAAATGTAAATAACAACTTATTACAATCAGTGTACTCCAGGAGCAGGGACATTTGCTTAAAGGTTTGTTGCAGTGCTGCTCCATATAGCTGACATTTCTTGCTTGCGAACTTTGAATTAGCCCAAGTAGTTGAACATGTAGGTTACCATGCCCTTTTACTCCCAAGATCTCACTAGTAATTCCCCTTACAGTCTGCTATACAATTGTCATAATGTTTGTTTGGTGAATATGGTATTGGATCAACTGATAATCCCTTAATTGATGTTTTTGTTCATTCTCATCTCTTGTCTGCTTGATGTGGTATTGATATTGTGATCACACATGGGTGTTAAAGAGTTAAGGTCCTCTGTGGGAAAAAAGGTAAGAAGCCAAGTGGCCCATCTAGCCAAAACTTATCCAGGTTTCTGTAGCATGAAGTAACTAGGAGTACAGCTACACCCCCCCCCCATGGGATGCTAGTCCAGGGTAGGTAACTCTCCCCCCCCCCTACCTTGCAGAATTTATTGGATTTCTCTGAGAATTCACCAATATCCATTTTGGTGACCTTAGTAATTAATTTTTTGTAATATTGTTTTTTATTTGTATAGCGTTATGAGAAGCCCTTATTTACCAGTGAATCTTACAGAAAAGTATTGGAGAAACATAAGCGGACATTTAACCCCGTGCAGGTCTTTGATTCTTCTTAGAAGCATTAATTTAGAAAATTAAACAGTCAGTACAAATCTGCCTTGCCTGAATTTATTTGTTACTTCAACTTTACTTTTCTTGCTCGTCTAATGATTTCAAAGGAATATGTGACATAGATTGTTTGTTGATTTACTTTTCAATGAGCAATTATTATTTTACAGATGCATGCCTTCCGCCTTCTGTTCACTTGGAGAGATAATATGGCACGAGAAGAGGATGAAAGCTATGGGTAAGGCTAAATTTGTGGAAAGGGTACTCGTCTGTCCGCTTGATTACTTTATTCAGTCAACAAACTTTGAAAATGAATTATCTTTGGTACAAAGGGCTTGTTTGTAGATTTAACCTTTTTAAATTACACCTTTAACGTTTATGACCAAAATGTGAAGCTCATCAATTTTTTATTGCAATAAGATCTCACTTTAAGGGATCAATTATTAGCAAGGAAATCTCTTGTTTTATTACATCTCTTGTTTTATTACATCTCTTGTTTTATTACATCTCTTGTTTTATTACATCTCTTGTTTTATTACATCTCTTGTTTTATTACATCTCTTGTTTTATTACATCTCTTGTTTTATCGTTTCTTTTCTTTCAGTTTTGTCATCCCAAATCACATGATGTTCCAGATTGCAGAAACCTTACCGAGGTAGTTCTTTACTTTGAAACAAGAATTAACCAGATTTAGATAATCCACTGTCCATCGTGATTCTTAGAAATCATTGTTTTCAGTACCATATTACTTAGGGTTAAGGTCAGTTGTGAAACTGTTTTAACCGGCTTTTTTTGTTTCTTTTTAGGGAGGCCCAAGGCGTCCTTGCCTGTTGTAATCCAGTCCCCACACTTGTTAAGCAATACGTGAATGAGATACATATGTTGATTGTTGAAGCAAAGCAGCTTGCTCTGACCACCAACAAGGTTTATACATCTCATTTACATGCGTATACAATTATTTGTAGATATACCTTAATCATTATGAAACATATTATGTATTGCACTAAACTAAAGACATATTTACAACTGTTACAGTAGTGCTCGTTGTGCCGGTAACGAAATGTTATCTATGTTTCTTTGAACCGTTTTTCAGAACATCTCTTCTTCTGGCACTTCATCTCAAGTTGACTCAGGAAACACAACAGGGCAAAATGTTCTGGTAATCGCCTTTTACTTATGACTCTGTTCTTGAATCCCTAAAATTGCAACGGGTTGAACCTGTCCACAGCTGTCAGGTATAAACATTTCTTCTCTTACAGATGAGTCCCAGTGTATCTCAACCACCGCTGATCGATTCAGATAATAAACCAAACCTACCAACTGATAATGGTGAGACAAATCTTTTTGTTATTACAGAATTTTATCTCATTAGTGTTATCATTTTATTCAAACCTATTTAATTTTACCCTGTGCTTTTCCACAGGAGAGTCTGCAGCTGTTAGTCACTCAGTGAGTTCATATGGTCGAGTTTTGGTGTCTGGACCCGCTATTATCAGAGCAAATCCTACTGTATCGCTATTTAAGGTATAACTGCTACTTAGTCATCGCCATCGAGTGTCAAGAGTATAGTTGTGTTACGTTGGGTAAAAAATACATTTCTGTACACTGTGATGGTCTAGAGGACTTGCATCATTGCAGCCCTTGTGACGTGGTTACCAGGGGTGGATAAAGTGGGTGTTAACGTTAGTGTAACTACTGCTTTCTTGTCCGAAACTTAAATGAAAGAAGGGTGTCATTTTGTTTATGTCTTTCTTTTTCAGATTGTGGAAGTTGGTCAGCCTACCGATGGGCAGAAAAAAGCAGAAAAAATCAAAGCTTCGTTTCAAAATCCTTTTCAAAAAGTTCGTTGTCGCTACTATTATCAAGTTCCTGTGTCGTTCTATAATTTTTGAAATATTTATCAATCTAAGTGATGTTTATTACAGCTGATGAATTTTTTTGCAGTTCCTTCCGGTGAAAAGCCGCTCGGAGACAACAGAAGGCCATGCTGTTGTTGGTGACCTACAGAGTGACGAACAAACGCGCAGGGTGGGTACCCTGTGTTAGAAGTAACCCCGTCCAAACAAACTTTGAGCCTTTTAAATGACCTTTTTAATTTACTTGAGTATGGACCACAGCAAGTAATTTGCCCTTAGCTCTGTTTAGCACTTAACACCATAAAGTGAAGGCAGTTATTGCAACGATAGAAAAAGGTATATTGCAAAATAATCACGAAATCTTCCTTTGAAATACATTTTTCTCAAGAGGAGTTATTTCTGCTGCCACTTTTATCCGCACTTTTCTCAGTCATTACAGAGCAAGCTTTGTTTACTTCAATTCCCATCCTACACTTTCTATCTTTCTTCGGTGATTTGGCCTGGTATCCTCGCATGCCAAACTTTTCTTAATCCTACCTTCCATCAGATAAACCAGCAGTGGAGACAAGCAACACAACTTCAATCTTCATCCACAATATCAGGTAATCGGTTTTTTTAACAGGGATGATGTTATAGACAGGAAACAAAAAGAACATAAAGAACATACCTTGTTTTATTAGCGTTATTAACAGTTCATTTTGGTCCAGATTAGCGAAGCATGTGCATTTGTTTATAATGCTTTGTTTTGTTTTGTTTTTTTTTCTGTTCAGAACCGACTGTTAGCCAGAAGCATTCTCACACAGAGAACGGAGACACGCCCGAGGACTTGACACCTCTGAGAGACAAAGTAAGTGCATTTATTGATTGACAGATTAAATTTTTCGTTACTAATCACAATACATCTAAATTACTCGATAACGCTTTTAGTTGAGAAGTTATTTCACGGTTTTTCGGTTTTTTCACGTATATGTCTGATTTTTATGTGTACCACTAGACAACTGAAAAGTCTGCTAAAAAGAAAAGAAAGAGGGAATCTGGAGACTCCTGCTCATCCATGTCTCATTACAATAAAGACGAAGAAATTTCTCCTTCACATGATTCAGTTTCTCAGCCTGGCAGAGAGTTTGTGCCTTTCAACTACTCAGATGTGGACTATTCAACATTTTTAGGTAAGAACAAATACGGCTAGAATGACTTTTTAAACGAAGTTATGTTAGTTTATTCCTCAGTTTAAATACATAAGCATCATATTAATCCCTGCTTCTTGCAAGTAATTTATGCTAGTTTATTCCACAGTTCAAACACATAATTATTACATTTATCCCCGCCTTTTGCAAGTAATTTATGTTAGTTTATTCTACAGTACAAATACATGATTATCATATCAATCCCAGCGTTCTGCGAGTCACCAATACAAGTTCATTCAGTGGCAGCCCTCAGTTGGTCTAATAGCTCATTTGGTCAATAAAAAGCGTTGCAATGGTATCACAGGACATTCTTGTTAAAGGAGTGGGTTTATGGTGATCAAAGATTTAATGATTGTTTTGTTATCAGGAGATACTCAAAAGGATTCGAGGGAAAAGGCAGTCGTTTTCAATCCCTATAACTCTTCGAAAGACTCCAAAGTAAGTAGCGATGATACAAATTATAATGAGAATGTATTATTTTATATATTTTTTTTTCATTCGCTGAAAGTACTTCTTTACTTCTAGTGAATTATTTGGTAGCGTTTGGTTGTAAATCGATTATTCATTTGTTCCATATTTCTTCAACAGTCAAATGGTCCTCGATCCAAAGTGCACATGAAATCGGGACACAGAAGTTTAACGTTTTCTTCCAAAAAGTAAGTAATCTATGATTGTTCTTTTGAGTAGAGAAACAGCTTATGCCATAACTTGAAGTAAAATTGAACTCCCCCAATTGAACAGACTTTGTCGCTATCACGTATGTTTTTTAAGGTCCTCCACGTGAATGGAACTTTTTATAGTAATATTCTTGTATTTTTTTCTTCAGTTTTCTTTTAAAATCTCCTCCAATGTAGCCTTTTGAGAGCTTAATACAGTGTACTTCCCATTAGTTACGAGAGGTGTTTTTGATAGAGGGCTGTTGCTGCTTTTTTTCTCGAAATTGAGTCGGAAGTTCACGAAATGGTTGCAAGTTATTAAGACTGTGCCCTGCGATCCTCTATGGAAACAGGTATGACACAGTGGTAATAGCCTTTGGCAGTAACTCGAGGTTGATTCCCGGAATTAGCGTCACATTTAGTTTAATTTGCTGCCAGCCTCACCCCATATCCTCCTTTTATTTTTCATACCCAAAAATTCTAAAATTCAATTGGACCTAGAAACAGAGTGCGAGGAGCCACCTTATGGCATTGCCACCAATGGCCCTCCGCTTTGATTTCTTCCTGATGCAGATTTAAATTGCCCATGGTGGAAGAATTCTGATTTGCAATGTTGTACTTTGCACTATTACAGGCCTTCAAGTCAGAAGCAGAAGTGGCCTCGAAGATGACAGCAGTTAAGCCCTGACTTCAAGAGGAGAACTTACAATTATGCCTGTTTTGAAATAATTTGTGATAGCTTTTGGACTGATTTCACGGAAATAGTACATTTGTAAATTTTGGCCGAAACTGATTTCGCTCAATTTCAGGCACTTTTTCAGTGAATTCTTATCGTTTTTCGGGGAGTGAGGAAATTGATTTTATTGAAAGACACCAGATTTTAATACTGAATGGCCGTACATGGTTACCTCTTGATAAACAAGAATTTTACGAGCGATTTAAGATAAGTCGATTTAACCAATTCTATTCCAATGAGAAATCCATTTCAAACGATTGTAGAATCTTTTGTTTCATTAAGCAGTATTACATTTTACCTGTCAATCGAGTGCTTGTTATACTGGGGAGAGGGGCTTAATTACACCAAGTTACACGTGCTACACTAAGACACTTGCAAAGCGTTTGTTGAATAAATTATCTGTTTTTATCTCGACGCGATAGTGATTTTAGTTTGGATAAACTCTATGGTTTTCGAGCCCAATGACTGTCGCCGGTTAGCCAGTCGGAGGATAGAAAAACCATTTCCAGCTTCCTTAGATGAAGCACAAGATAGGAAAGAACTCCATTTTTCCCTATGAGTCCCACTTGTTTTAGAAAACTCGCTGATAATAATACACGTTTTACTTCCAATCTTTGTTACAATTCCCAGAGTAACGCTATTTGAAAACATCGTCATAATCGTGCTGTAACACCAATAACTATGAATTATTAACCATGCGTGCTGTCAAGATTTCTGATTATTGGGCGAGTTCTTTTTAGGCATTTTTATGGACCGATACGAAGTCGAGGTCCTTAAAAACGGACAGATAATGACGAGGCTAATGTCCAGCCATCTTGACCGCACAACTTTGATCAATAAAGGATGTACTATAAAGCAAAGAAGATTCCGCTTTAGTAAGAATCAAGAGTGAATTTTCTTTTCGAGAGCTGAGAAAGAAATCCAACTGTGTTTGTAGCACAATAAACCCACCAAGGTTGCTTATGTTTGTTTTTTTTTTTTAACTGTCTTCGGCCGCTTTTTGCGACTCCATCATCGATACTTTGGTCCAAGAATTACGAACTTTGTTAGTCCGGTCCACGTAATTTTTCTTCTTGCGCAGGATCAAAGCGAGTACGATATCGATGGGCCCATCTTGCATGCTCGGGTAGATAATCGAGACACAGGATTCGCTTCAGTGCAAGAGCTCCGCCAGCGCGGGCACTGCTAGCGATATAATAAACTCTTAATCATAAGATTGTTTTATTTAATATTTATGAGGTTGTCAAGCGTTACAGAAAAAAATAAGAAATGAAGCCTATGATTTCTTTGTTTTTGGTTGTATTTTTACATGGGGAAGAAAGTTTCTAATAGAACTATTTTCAGTCACAAAAGATCCAAGTAAACAAAAACACTTGAGAAGTGAAGTTAAATGTTAAGTCATGAAAGTAAATTAACTAAAGCAAGATTTTGGTCTTTCCATTGTAGACTAATGTTGGTTGTCTAAAAAAATGGAGTATCGACTCAATAGTGACTCTAAATTTCTATTACAAGTGAGATCAGTCTATGGTTATAAGAGTAAATGCAACTGGGTTATGCAGCATTTAGACTGCATGGATATTTCGAAATCTCCTTTCTCAAAATTTTACACATGCATTACTGCTGAACTGAAAGTTATTAAACTATTCTATTACATCGAACATGCTAGAAAATTGCCAGGGTAACCTACTTAAAACTGACTAATCCAATTACGAGAAATCCCACGTAAATTATCCGTCATATCTGTTTGTATTGGCCTTGGACATTTATTAGCCACGTAGAATTAATTTGAAGTCATTATTCATTTCCTATAATGTCATTAGTTAATTTTGTCTAGGTGATCCTAGCAACAAATTCTTAACGCCTTCTGACAGTATCATCGTCTCCTTATAACAGCGCCCGGCCAGGCTGCAAAAAGATAATGGGGCTGCTAATACAAAGATTACGCTAACTCTGCCTAGGATCTAACCTCCTTAATAGGTCTTCGCCACCTCCGCGAGCATTTGTATATGACTCGAGTACATTGTCCATTGTCCATATTTGCCATACCTATCGCCATGTCAAGCTTCTCTTTATAATTAAAAGTATTTCCAAAGTGGATTCGACCATCAAGGAAAGGCATAAAAGTGCGCTTTCTTTGCTACCTTACGCCGCGTGCCGACATTGACATTGTTTACACTACTGTAAATATATGCATATCATATATGTGAGCTGGCTATGAATATGGAAGCGATCTTCGCAATTATGAACACTACTTAAGCAGTAATGAAAATAAGGCCTGAAAAAAATTCAGGCTTGTGACGGTGCGATACCGGTGCAGTGCTCTACCAACTGAACTACAAAGCCAACTAGGAGCTGGTTACTATATTGGTTCGCAATATATTCACATTTATATACTTAGATATTTACTTATGTACATAGATTCAAGTTAAGTTTTATGCTAAAGTTCAGTTTAAGGGTACAAAGCGTAAACATCTGCGCATGTCTTCCCGGCATTATTGTGCTCGGAATAATCTGCCAAGTCTTGCCCATACCATATTAGGAACTGCTGTCCAATCGACACAACCAGAGGGGTGGGGAGCAGGTTAAACACAAGCGTCAGGGAGTTGACATGAGCACGGTCAAGTTGGTACCTATAGTCATGAACGCCTGTCGCGAACTCAGCAAGTGGAAGAACAGTCTTGTTGCGGTAAGTTATCACCGTCAGTAGTCTATGACGTCCCAAACTTACGTGTAAACATCCCCACTTTGTGGATTCGAGGTTAGTATCACATGTCACGGAGCCACTTGTATGCACAAGTTTGAATGTGTAGATTTTACCGGCCTCTTGGATTTCAAAGGATCCAAAGTCGTCATTTTTTGTCCCAAAGCAGACAGGATCGGTGTTGATTTTTTTCCAGTTATCTGTCAAGAAAATTGGTAGGTTTTAAAAATGATGTTAGCAAGTCAGGTCAGTTTGTCGATGGAAATTAGAAAAAAATCTCACTTTGCAATTGTCCAGACAAGATTAGTCTGAATAATATTTTGATAAGTATCGCTGCGCGTGAATGGTGTCGAAAATTACAATTTTCTCGACAAGAAGGACGCCTCATTGAATATATCTGAGACAGATATGAGCGTTAGCTGCGTTTGCTTGTATTGCACAATTGCAAGCCACACTTAAATGGTTAACAACACTTTGGCGATTGATAAATCAAATCTTTCAGCTTTCTTCTGTTGATATGGTGTAAAGGGGTGGAAAAAGTGTAGCGTAGGTTACTTAAATAAGATTTCGTGTTCAGTGAGAAATCAAGATATACCTGAGCAAAAGTGCCGTCCATCTCCAAGGTGTCCAGACTGACAGCTGCAGTCGAATGATCCAGCGGTGTTTGTACAATCGGCTGCAAAGTGACAGTCATGGCTTCCATCGTTACACTCATCGATATCTAAGTAGTAATTGAATATAAGACTAATCAAGGTGTAGGGAAATTATCAGAAGAGGTGGGGTTGTTTTTTTAGCGTTTCCCAGAATCTACTGAAAAGTGTAATGTGTTGAGGTCGCGGTTTCACGGGTTTGCCAGAAGTTCGGCATCATTCTGTATATTTTAAATATGCTTAAAGCAGCAATTTTGCTGACTATGATGTGGAGGCAGTCTTCTCAGATACATAAACATGTAAAGACTTACCATTTTTTAGCAGTAATTTTAAGGACAATTGACCCTGCGAATTGCATCAGTTATTTCTGTCTTACAAAACGAAGATGATTACTCACTGATGAAGAGAGTAATCGATAGCTTTGCACTTTTATATAAAGTAAATGTTACCTTGGCAAATTTTACCATCGCCAGTAAATCCAGGCTTGCAAGAGCACTGATATGAACCCACGACATTAACACAGTAGCCGTCAGAGGAACAATCGTGTTTGCTTGATGTACACTCATCAGTATCTACACACGAGTTACAAGAGACGGAAAAGTTAGACGTATGAGCCCATAACATTAAGACAACTGCCATCAGAGGAACACTTCACCTTGCCTTAGACACATTCGTCAATATCTATTCAAGATTAAAGGAAGATGAAAAAAAACATAATATTCCTTATTTTGAAATAGATCTTTTTCATCTAAAGTTCATCTCGATCGTATTAATCAATTATTTCTGTCGGTTATTCCAAAATTCCACTGAACTATTTGCTTTCAGCACGAAACTTATACTTTTATTCGTTTCATTTCTGTTCTTGCCCTTGCATCAAATATCCATAGTTGACAACATGAAGGCAGTTTTCCCTTCGTATCACCCTTTCTTATTCTGATATTCTCTTTCTTTCTCGTTTTTCTGTAATCTCCATTATCTAGGATTTATCACATCACGACAGCAATACTTTCATATCACCTCTCGGTTAATGCTGCAGAAGAACATCTTATGACGACGTCTCCAGTTGTCTCAACCTTGGGGTTTCAATCCTTCTAACAACCTCTAGCATTTTAGGGAGCACATACAGAACAAATCTAACTTGCCCCTTACCCTGTGACGGAGATATCCTTTAATGCAGATATTAAGGCTGTATTGATTAAACAGATGAGGATTCAAAACTCTCCTTGCTGAGAGGCTACTTTATTTGCAGCTTTATTGTGTAACTTTAACTATGAACCTGGGAGATGAAGACCTGCCATGACGAGGAGTTTCCTTTCTCACCTCTTTGGCAAAGCTCTCCTTCATATCCGTCAGAACAAATACAGCGGTAACCATGACTACCAAACCCCGCTTGACAAGTAGAGTTACTAACACACGGATTGCTCTCACAGGAATTCTGAAATGCAAAAGATGAATCAAGTAATTAGATAGGTAAAGCTTAGATGAGTAAACAAATAGACTGAGTATTTAGAGGGATAAATAATAAAGTGGTAAATAAATAAACGAGGAGGATCAACTTGAAACAGAGGTTTCTCGCTTGCGGAACGATCATCCTGGTAAAACTGATATTGTTATTCCCTTACAATGATTGCTGTGTACAAAGAGCCGTTCCTATATTCGAAGTAACTGGGAGAGACTTGCAAATGAGTTCTGTTATTTAGCTCGCATGTGAATGTTCCATCCCCCAGCGGACCATAGTTATAGGACACACAGTTTGGTTCAAAGTAGCATTTAAACTCGCAGATATCCTTGTCCTTTGCTTGTTCACTTCTTATGACGTGATTTGTTAAGATCTTGTTTTTCGTTCCTGCTTTGAACTGAATCACTCGGCAATCATCTAAGGGTTTGGCAAGAAGTGAAGAAGCCAATGAAGAAGCTAATAAGAAAATGAAATGAAACAGCACACAAGCTTAAAGGAAGTAATTTAGTGTAAATAACTGAGTTGAAAACGTAAATTAGCCACCTTAAAGGGTAAAATTAAAGGAAGCAATATTGGTTTAAAGTTGTTCCATAAATGCCAGGGAAACTACATAATTAACTCTTGATTTGCCGCTCGACTAAAAAGAAAAAACGAATATTTGCTATGCTCTTTCATCCTCGAAAGAAAGGCAGGTGATAAGCCTTTCCTCTCTTTTCGTTAGGTGAGTGACTTAGCTAAATAGCCTGCAAACTTGAATTATCCAGTAATCATATTCATTCCACCAGAGAAGTTGCTTTTTCGGACAATCATTTTTTTATTTACCCATTACACTGAAGAACAAGATTGATGTTCACTGATTGAGATTTTAAATAGGATCTGGTTTTCAAATAAGGGGGTAGGTTTCTAAGGAAACTGTAACGCTGCATCGGTGGGGGTAGAACTCAATAACCTTTAGCGCTTCGCTCTGGAACGTCAACTTTAGAAATTCTTTACGATAGCAAATCTATGCTATTACTCCTTTAGCTTTCAAGGTCTTCATTAGTGTCTTTTTTCTATTCTATTTATTATTGAACATCAGCAACTCAAAAATTGTGGACATATCATGTGGGGACAAATGTCGCCGTGAATCCGCAATAATTTTACTAACAGATATTCTTTCCACGTTCACGTTTCCTTCAAGCCCAACTAAGATCACGGTATTGTAAACAGGGCAGTTTTGCAATAACGTGCTATCGTGCAATATCCCATTTCTGCCATATTTACTTTGAGAATTCGAAATTTCACATTATCACTCGGAATAGATTTTTAATGTTAACTTAATGAGTTTTCTATTTTCACACACTTAATTTCTTCTTCCTTTTGTACCATTAACACAAGGATATGAATCTGATCAGGAATACAACAGTGATAATAGATTGAAATGTCGGCGATGCCGGCTTTTGGCATGAGTTACTTACCTTCATGCACCAGCACACCAAAACGTAAAATCCATAGAAAAGCTTGGACCTTACTCACTGAGCGATCACTAACGGCAGGTGAGAGCAGTACCATATTGTCCTTAGTGAGAACACCCTTCAGATAGCTATAGCGAGCTTAATGAAACGCTGGTCTCTCTTGTAAATGCAACCAGAATTATTATTTCAACACTCAAAATAATAGAGCGAATTGCAGAATCATAAAAGAGGAAAGTAATTATTAATGTAACAGGCAGTTGTGAGACCAGCACCCTTCGAAGTTATAGAATTTTATTTTTTACCATTTACGAATACATGATTTGAATATTCCCATGGCTTAACTTAATTTGAAAACAAAACATTGCGTCTTAAGAATTAGAAAAAAACTGTAGGAGAAAAAAAATAACTTGAATGCGTGATGTTAGCCTTTGGAAATAACTAATAAACCGTTTGCCGAAGATTGCCTTACGCAAGACGTTTTTCAGTGTTACCAATTTGATGTTTGCATTAAATGAAATTGAAAATCTGTCGAGTGCGTTCAATTGCAGATTAATTTATTAAACGATGAAAATGAAAAAAGGTTGAACCGCTTCAAAAAACTCCATGACAAAGACGTGCGAGAAGGCATGCACATTTATTCCCTTTAAAAAAAATTATTTTACAACAAGATGAAAGCTTAAGGAAATACTTGAAGCAGAGAACATGCTGAATAATGATAGATTTATTTTTGTGGAAATGAAAATTGAAAAGACTATCGACACTTTTTTGAGCTAAAATATTTTAAGTGATAAACCCAAACTTGAACACCTTTGCCTCTAAATAACCAAATTCAAATAAGAAGGAGGGTAAAATTGAATATAATTAAAGTGAATCCACTTGATATCAATCACATAGAAAATTCTCAAAGTAGATTAGGTTGGTGATACGCTTACATGGCTCAAGTTTGCACCTGACGTTTTGTTTACCTCAAGAGTAACATTTTTTTCTCGTCTTAACTCAACTATTTCGCCTTGGTGTCATGAAAAAGGCTGATTTCTTGCCTCGTAAAAAGCGAAAAAAAAATTTCCAAAAAACCACTAATTACCACCAAATCCTAACCCTAAACCCTTTGCACCTGACGTTTGTTTACCTCAAGGGTGACCATTTTTTCTCATCTTAACTCAACTATATCACCTTGGTGTCATGAAAGAGACTGGTGTCCTGCCTCGAAAAAAAGGAAAAAAAGATGAAATACCACAATGCCAAAGGAAACAATTGTATCGACAATATCTTACAAGGATACCCCGTCGACATTGTTTTAAAGCTTAAATTTTATGTGCCAGCCGCCCACAAAAAAAGCAGTGTCTTTGGTCACAGAAAGGGCTAATTTTTGCAGGATGGTTAAACGGTTTAATAATCGCCATCCCGTCACGTATCTTTAAGACGCGTCCAACGCATATTACAACTACCGCAGGACACTTTTCTTAACTGTTTAAACCAACGGGGCACCCCAATCAGCTCTTACTGCCAATCAAAATTTCCGTAAGTTCAGTTGTTTGTTTACTAAAGATAAAATTAAATACAAGCTATTCAAAGTGCGATTTCTGGACTCAAATCCACTCTAAAGGTGATGAAAAACAGAAACACGACATAAAATAAAACTCGACAGTTTGGATTTGAGCTATCTTAAAGAAAAGCTGATATAAGAGATTGTCATTTATTGAAGTTTTTAAGAGCTCCGGGGAGCTAAAGTTTATTTTCAATTCATTTTCGTTGAAAGAAAGCAAATTCATTAGCATTAGCCGCAAGGAAAATAATTGTTGTGAAATATTTAACAATAATGCCGTAGGCGCGCGTTGAATGTGAGTTAGTGAATAGCTAAGGAGGCACTTCATTACTACACTAGGTAATATTATGGCAAATCTCGACTCTTAGTATTGCTTTTTTTCTGTTTTTTTGTTTTTTTTTTTGTCATTACATACTTGCATTATTCCATGAAATTATCTACTACGTTTCCATATCGATGTCGAAGCTTGCTTAATTTGTCACTATAGGGACCAGGTAACCAATCAGCTTACTTATCGTGCCAACTGAACGGACCATTCATGAAGGACCTGGTGATTGAAGCCATATCACATCTACCGTGCCTTCTTTATGAACTAAATACCACCCGCTCTCCGATTGTTTGCCGGTGGGATTCAGCAAAGTGCCGACGTACGACCGAAGTCATCTGTAGTTGCCGCAACAGTTTAACCGTGTCAATGGTACAGAGCATAAACGTCCGCGCATGTCTTACCATCGTTATTATTCTCAGTATAATTGACCAAGTCATGCGCATACCATAACTGAAACTGCTGCCCAACCAATACAACCAGTGGGGTGGGTAGGAGCTTAAACACTAGTGTTGCGGAGTTGAAATCGGCACCATCAAGTTGGTAAGTATAGTATGTACTGTCGCTGCCTTTCAAGAACTCAGCAAGCGGAAGAACTGTTTTGTTGCTGTAAGTTATCACCGTCATTAGGTTGTGATTTCCGTAAATTGGCAATGAGCATCCCCACTTTGTTGATGTTTTTGAAGTGAGGCATGTCACGGAGCCACTTGTATGGACAAGTTTAAATGTGTAGATTTGACCGGCTTCTTGGATATCAAAAGTTCCGTGGTCGTCATTTTTTGTCCCAAAACAGACAGGATCGAGGTTGACCTTTTTCCAGTTATCTGTTAAAGAGTTTGCCAGGTTTCAAAGAAAGCCTTAGGTTTTCGTGTCTTAGAAACGGTAACGCAAAATAAATTGATTTGTTTGAGGAAAGTAATAAAAGAATAACTTTGGTTATGTTCAAACCACTCTACTCACTCACATTTGTTTGTTTTGGGTTAAAGATCAAGATATACCTGAGCAAAAGTGCCGTCCATCTCCAAGGTGTCCAGACTGACAGCTGCAGTCGAATGATCCAGCGGTGTTTGTACAATCGGCCGCAAAGTGACAGTCATGGCTTTCATCGTTACACTCATCGATATCTAAGTAGAAATGGAATATAAGACTAATCAAGGTGTAGGGAAATTATCAGAAGAGGTGGGGTTGTTTTTTTGCGTTTCCCAGAGTCTACTGAAAAGTGTAACGTGCTGAGGTCGTGAATTCACGGGTTTGCCAGAAGTTCGGCATCGTTCTGTATATTTGAAATATCCTTAAAAAAGCAATTTTGCTGATAATGATGTGAAGGCAGCCTTCTCTGTTACATAAAAATGTAAAGACTGACCCTTTTTTAGCAGTAATTTTAAGGACAATTGACCTTGCGAAACGCATCAGTTATTTCTGTCTTGCAAGAGTAGTGAAGAGGGTAATCAATAGCTTTGCACTTTTATATAAAATAAATCTTCCCCTGGCAAATTTTACCATTGCCAGTAAATCCAGGCTTGCAAGAACACTGATATGAACCCACGACATTAACACAGTCGCCGTCAGAGGAACAATCGTGTTTGCTTGATGTACACTCATCAATATCTACATACGAGTTACACGAGACGGAAAACTAAGACGTATGAGCCCATAACATTAACACAACTGCCATCAGAGGAACACTTCACCTTGCCTTAGACACATTCGTCAATATCTATTCAAGATTAAAGGAAGATGAAAAAAACCATAATATTCCTTATTTTGACATAGATCTTATTCATCTAAAGTGCACCTCCATCGTATTAATCAATTATTTCTTTTCTGTTTCATTTCTGTTCTTACCCTTGCATCAAATATCTACAATTGACAACATGAGGTAATTTTCCGTTCATATCACCCATTCTTATTCCGATATTCTCTTACTTTCTCGTTTTTCTGTAAGCTCCATTATCTAGGATTTATCACATCACGACAGTAATACTTTGTATCGCCCCTCGGTTAATGCTGCAGAAGAACATCTTATCACGACTTCTCCAGTTGTCACAACCTTGGAGTTTCAATCCTTCTGACAACTTCTAGCATTCAATTGAGAGCACATACTGAACAAATCTAACTTGCCCCTTGCTCTATGACGGAGAGATCCTTTAATGCAGATATCAAGGCTGTATTGATTAGACAGATGAGGATATAAACTCTCCTTGCTGAGAGGCTACTTTATTTGCAGCTTTATTGGGTAACATTAACTGTGCACCTGGGAGATGAAGACCTGCTATCGCAAGGACTTTCCTTTCTCACCTATTTGGCAAAGCTCTCCTTCATATCCATCAGAACAAATACAGCGGTAACCATGACTACCAAACCCCGCTTGACATGTGGAGTTACTAACACACGGATTGCTCTTGTCTCTCCATCGTCAATTTATACAGGTCGACAATGTGAGCACTGATATGAACCCAAATTATTGACACATTCGCGCTCAGCAGGAAAATCGTGTTTTCCTAATAGGCATTCATCAACATCTTCACAGAATTTAAGAAAAAAAACCAAAGCTAAAAACTCTCCACTATAAGACATTTCTTCCAACTCTATGAAAGTGGCCCTGTGCATCTGTGTACTTTTCTTTCTGTTCCTCTTCCTACCTGTCCTTTTCACATCCTTTTAGTCAGGATTCTTCGCCTGTTCTCCTGTCTTTTCTCTATCTTAGCATTGCACGCATAATTTTTTGGCAATTATAGCTGGTTAACTTTATTGTAAACTCAATTAAATATTGAACTGTGTGAACTCATCTTTTTATCGTTAGATGTTTTTTTCCTCACCTTTTTTACACTGAACTCCTCGATATCCAGCAGGACAAATACAGCGGTATCCATGGTTACCAAACCCCGCTTGACATGTGGCGTGATTGGCACATGGAATGCTCTCACAAGGATTCTGAAAAGATAAGAAGAAAATAGATCAATTTATACAATAAATCAATTTTAAAATGATGAATAGATAAATAAATAACATCGAAGGGAACAACACTATATCCGATTTTTTTTTTGTTCGTAAATTGATCACCTTTGTAAATTAAAACTGCTTGTTACCAGGCCGTACTTACAAAAATTTCTGTGTATAAAAATCCGCTTTTGTCTTCAAGGGAGTCGGGGACTTGTAAGTGGGTCCTGTCATTCAGTTCACATGTGAATGTTCCATCTGACAGTGGACCATAGTTGTAGGAAACGCAGTTTGGTTCAAGATAGCATCTCAATTCACAAACATTCTTGTCTGGCAGATGATCTCCCCTAATGACGTGATTTGGTAAGATCTTATTTTTTGTTCCTTCTTTGAATTCAATCACTCGACAATCATCTGAGGGAGGAAGAAGGAATAGGGAAACCAATGAGAAATATAATCAGCTATATCAAAAAAACATGAACAGGTGGCAAACCTTTCCATATTATGGGCAGTAATTCAGTCAAATTGCCTTCAACGCGAAAGCCTTTTGTGCGGCATTTACATCTCCAAAAAGGTAATTTCTTTCGACCTTTTTTCTTTTACGAGAGATAGTCAAAACTAATACTCTTTTACTTACATTACGTGAGGGTTGATATCAAACAATTATATTGTGAAGAAAGTAAATAATTTATTCCAGGGGAAAATCACTCTTAGAAAGGCTTCGGGTGTAATTGCAGCCGAAATATAATGATCTTGGATGGTGTGTGGTACTCAAAAGAGCTAACAGTGGTTACTATCTTCTGTTTTTTATAATTTTGTTTTCGTGGAAGTTAACTCTTTCGCACAGTAGATAACAGATATGGAGGGCTGACTACATCATATCCTGAAAACGTGAATTCTTACGAGCCATACCTCCCATGCTACTCAATCCGCACTGGTTATTTGCAGAAAAACAGTCCAGACATGCAAAAAGAGCCAAGAGTAGGTAACATTTTATTTTCTCCAGCATTTTTCCTGTTTAAAAAGTTAAGAAATATTTAGGCAATTTAAGCGAATCTAGGAAACGTGAGACGTATTTTTAACAGACAGTAGTGTACTGTTTCAAAAATTAAACTTGTGAGGAAATATATCAAGCTACTTTCAACATCGTCCTTCTTTTTAATCAACTGCAACTTTGCCTAATTTTAGTTCAGTTGTCTCAATAATATTTGTGTGTCATCGGTCTGAAAGAAATATACCTCTACTTTTTTCTCATAATAATTCGGTCATAGTTTTTACATTCCATATGATACTTTCGCTTGTTCGATTGTTTTTTTGCCTAAATACGCTATGGACTGAACATCTCCATTTCAATTCACGCTCAATAAAACTTTTAACAAGAACTATTCCTACCTTTCAAGCAGAAATTCAATTTCAAATCTTTGGGGCGTTCTGTGATGCCGAACACCTGAAGACCTGTTTTTATAAAGAAATATCGGTGGACGCACATCAGCTTTGGTTAACTGATGAACGAGTTAGACAAACACTTTTGGGAGGAAAAAATCTGCCTAGCAAAATATGTGCTCATACTTAGGCTTGAAAATTTTGAGCAGCTGCTTGATGGCAAACTTTAAATAACGACACTTAGCCTTTTGTTATTTTTATTGTAATTGAGAATGAAAAATAACAACGGGTGGGTATCAAATTCGGCTTTCTGTAAACTTGAAACTTGGCCGAAGCAAATTTCTTCAGTCTTCCGCTGGGAGTTCGATTTCCTCTTATGACTTATGCAAATAATGGAAAAAAACTTTCTTACCTTTAGCCCTTTCACTCCTTGAAGCGATTACCATGTAACTTCTCCCTAAAGTATAAACAGTAAA